TTATAATATCATATAATTGATATAATTACTATATGACAGTTTTTGCACGCTGCGACGTTGCAGAAGGCAAGTGGCCCGGGCCCGTTTGGGTGGTTCCGAAGCTCCGACGTGCCGGTTAGGAGAGTTCCGCAGCTGCACGGATCACCGTAATTTTTAGGGAGTAAAGAAAAGCCCCGAAACCGCGCCCTGAGGCAGTTGAGCGTGTGGTGCATGAAGGGAAGCATGTTTGGAAAAGCCGGGTAGAAGCGCGGTGGGTGTGTGCGCAGCAACTCGCCACCTGCACTGCATTTCCAGGGAGCGTTTTCAACTAGAGTCTCCGCATCACACATGGGAAGCGAGAGACAGGCAGAGATGTCCACGGCGACAAGGTTGCAAATAAAGACTCTCACACGGGCGATCATGTCCGCGGGACTCACACACTCTCAAGAGCCGTGGACACACGGACATGCCAAGAACCCATTGCCTCCGTCAAGACGCCGCATTTCCCCCTCAAAAACGCACCGTGACACGCGCCGCCGGTCCAAAGCAGTCGCTCCGGGTCGGGGGACGAGGCGCTCTGGGACCCCGACCGGAAGTGCGAGACTCCGCGAGAAAGCCGCAGCCAACACACCCGCCACAGCTGCGTCCCACAACGACCAAAAGGAAATGGGGGCGCCTCGGAGCCGGGAAAGCCAAAGATGACGGGGAAAAGGGAATTTTCAGGCCTGAACAAAGATCGCGACCGGGATTTCTCCCACTTCCGGTTCCAGGTCCTTCACATTTCCTGGTCCGTGTGGGAACAAGACCCGAGAAAGTCATTTCCCGAAGGGAAAGGTAATACTATTTGTATTAATTCTAGTAATTCTATTCTATTCTCTATTTTCTTTTTTTTTTTTGTATTCATGACCATGTTTATTGAAGCAACATTTACAATAAGAAAGTGTTAGAACCAACCTAAGTGTCAATAATTGGACAAGTGGCTAATGACACTGCTACACTCACACAGTGGAGTATTATGCATTACTAAAATATTTAAAAATCAAGACTTCATGAAATACTGCACAAGATTAATGAATTTAGAACAAATT